CAGGTCTGACTCGACGGCACATAACAACAACAACAACAACAAAGCAAATGGAAGAAATGACAAGATAAAAGAGCTGAATAGAAGATTTCAGAGAGCAACTTGAGAAGACAAAGTTAATTATTGTAATGAAATATGCAAATACTTAGAGTTAGCTTAGGATTTCTCAAGCTGAACAAACTGAAGAAAATATTTAAGCCTCGAGTTACAATACTGAATGATTCTATGGGCAATATATTGAATGATGCGAGAAACATCAAAAGAAGATGGAAGGAATACACAGAGTCACTGTACCAAAAAGAACGGTTGATGTTCATCCATTTCAGGAGGTGGCATATGATCAAGAACCAATGGTATTGAAGGAAGAAGTCAAAGCTGCACTGAAGGAAGTGGTGAGAAACAAGGCTTCAGGAATTGATGGAATACCTATTGAGATGTTTAAACAAACGGATGCTGCACTGGATGCATTACTTGGCTAAGCCAAGATATCTGGAAGACAGCTACCTGGTCAACTGAAGAGACCCATATTTACCCATTCCAAAGAAAGGTGATCCCACAGAATATGGAAATTATCTAACAATATCATTAATATCGCACACAAGTAAAATCTTATTGAAGATAATTCAAAAATGGTTGCAGTAGTATATTTAGAGAGAACTTCCAGAATTGCAAGCTGGATTCAGAACAGGACATGGAATGAGGGATATCACTGCAAATGTCAGATGGATCTTGGCTGAAAGCAAAGAATATCAGAAAGATATTTACTTGTGTTTTATTGATTATGCAAAAGCATTCAATTATGTGGATAATAACAAATTATGGATAACACTGAGAAGAATGGGAATTCCAGAACACTTAATTGTACTCATGAGGAACCTGTACATAAACCAGGAGGCTGTTATTCAAACAGAACAAGGGGACACTGCATGGTTTAAAATCAGGAAGGGAGTGTGTCAGGGTTGTATCCTTTCACCATACTTATTCAATCTGTATGCTGAGCAAATAATCTGAGAAGCTGGACTATATGAAGAAAAGTGTGGCATCAGAATTAGAGGAAGACTTGTTAACAACCTGCAATATGCATACAACACAACTTTGGTTGCTGAAAGTGAGTATGATTTGAAGCACTTACTGATGAAGATTGAAGAATACAGTCTGCAGTCAACATAAAGAAAATTAAAATACAACTGGACCAATATGCAGTATCATGATAAATGGAGAAAAGATTGAAATTATCAAAGATTTTATATGACAATCAGTACCAATGGAAGCAGCAGTCAAGACATCAGACAATGTACAGCACTGGGCAAATCTGCTGCAAAAGACCTCTTTAAAGTGCTAAAGAACAAAGATGTCTCTCTGAAGACTAAGGTGCACCTAACCCAAGCCATGGTATTTTCAGTCACCTCATATGCAATGTGAGAGCTGGACAGTGATTAAGGAAGACCGAAGAAAAGTTGATGCTTTTGACTTGTGGTGTTGGTAAAGAATACTGAAAGTACCATAGACTGTCAAAAGAGCTAACATATTTGTCCTGGAGGAAGTGCAGCTAGAATGCTCCTTGGATTGAGAATGGCCAGACTCATTTCACCTTTCAGTCATGGTGACAGAAGGGACCATTCCCTGGAGAAAGATATCATGCTTGGAAAAGTGGAGGGTCAACCCAAAATGGGAAGGCCCTAAACGAGATGGATTGACACAGTGGCTGCAATGATGGACTCAGGTATAGCAAGGATTGTACGAGAGGCACAGGATTGGGCAGTGTTTTGTTCTGTCGTATACAGAGTCACTCTGAGTCAGAGCCAACTTGATGGCACCTAACAACAACAACAATGTAATAATCTCTGAACCCATGAAATATCATCACAGTGAAGGTTGATAAACCATTAGGAAACACATGCCTTAAATGAAGAAATTAACATATAATATAAATAATAAATATTTTGGTTCTCTAGTGCTACTGTGGGAGCTCTGGTAGCATAGTGCCTAAGGCACCTGACTGCTAACCAGAAGGCTGGTGGTTCAAACCCACCAGCCACTCCTCAGAAGGAAGGTTGGGCAATCTACTTCCATAGTGATATAGCCCTGGAAACCCAAGGAGGGGTTGCTATGAGTCGGGTCTGACTTGATGGCACATAACAACAACAACAAGTGCCACTGTAACAGAAAATACAAGTGGATGGCTTTAACAAACAGGGATTTTATTCTATTATAGTTTAGAAGGCTAGAAGTCTGAGTTCAAAGTGCCAGCTCTAGGGTCTGGGTGAGAACCCCTTGACCTTAGGCTTTAGCTCTGCCTTTAGCTCCTCGCCCCCTAAAGCTGAAGGCTTCTCTTAACTCAGGTGGCTGCTGGCTGCTAAGGTGGACAAACCCAGTGTCAACAAATGGCACAGTCCCAGAATCATCAAGGAACATGGCAGGCCACTGGTTAAGATCAGCAGACAACATGGTCGGCTGCTGAACGAAGACTTGGCTACAGTAGGGTCCAAGCATGCCAAAAAGCTCAGAGACCTTTCTCAAAGCTATCTTGTCATATACTGGAAGCAGACCACATCCCTAAAGCTGCTTCAGTAGATTCCACCATGGAGCTGATTATCAGTCTCATCATGGGGAATAGCTATATCCAGCTGCCCAGGCACTCAAAACCAGGCCCAGCCAAGTTGACACCCAACTTAACTATCACAAAAAATAAGGTGAAAACTTCTGTGCTCTTTTACCTTTCTCAGGGTGGTCACTGACTTGCTGCATCAGGCTAATCTGCTGCAAAAGACCTCTTTAAACTGCTGAAAAGCAAATTTGTCACTTTGAGATCTAAGGTGTGCCTGATCCAAGCCATGGTATTTCCAACTGCTTCATTTGTATACAAAAGCTGGACTATGAATAAGGGAGACCAAAGAATTGGTGTTGGTGAAGAATATCGAATACACCATGGGCTACTAGAAGAATGAATAAATCTGTCTTGGAAGAAGTACAGCTTGAATGTTCCTTAGTAAGGAGAATGATGAGACTTCATCTTCATGTACTTTGAACATGCTATCAGGAGGGACCAATCCCTAGAGAAGGATATCATGCTGGTGAAGTAGGGGGTAAGCAAAAAAGAGGAGATGCTTAATGAGATGGATAAACACAGTGGTTGCAACAATAGGCTCAAACGTAGCAGCAATTGTGAGGGTGGTGCTGGACTGGGCAGTGTCTCATCCGTTGTACACAGGGATTGCTATGGGCTGGAAAGGACTCAATGGCACCTAACAATATCCAATTATGTTTTCAGACATTAGAATGTCCTGAAAATGGAAAACTATTAGAAAGTGATAGAATCAGATTGGCCAATCATTAAAATTTCCTGTTATCCAGTAGGGTGAGGGTTTGATGAAGGAAAGTTGAGAGTTGTTAATGGAAAAAAATAAAAGTTTATGTATATCTATTAATGAGTTCAAACTCCTCTAATATATTAGAGATATATTAAGAAATGTCAGGTATGAAGGCTACAATGGGACTATTAAGAGTGAGAACTTAAGGGATTCTATCAGGACATTTGGTATATCAGAGTGAGTATGTATCTTTTACAGAAGGGTATCTGATGGAGGTTCTCAAGTGGTCACTTTAACCTCCATTCCCTTTAAAGCCAAAGCTCTTTGAATGGATGCTCCCTTCTGAAAACCTTGTGGAGGCCTCTGTTTTTTCTTTCCCTTTGATGAAGTACTGTTCTTTCTTCTAACTTATATAGATGTATATCATTTATAGATTTTTCAACTCTTTTTCTTCCATAAGGCTAACTTTTTAAAACAAACCTCTAAATATGACAAGCAATAATCAGGAGTAATCTCTGAACACATGAAATATCACCACAGTGAAGATTTATGGACCAGTAATAGTAAGCCCCTTTCTCCACAGAATAAATTAACATATGATATAAATAACATAAATAAGATGAAAACTTTTGTGGGTTTTTTTTTTTTTTTTACCTTTCCCGGGGTGGTTGCTGAAGTTTTTCAAGTCGTACAACAGATGGCTGGTTAGATTTACTTGGCTTCCCAACAGTAACATTCAGGTCTGGGGATAAGAATGCTGGATATTCTACTGGCTGTGGTACAATAACATTTCTGTAAAAATAGTAATAAGTTTAAATACTGAAGTATACTTCTAAAATCAGTGGTGAATCTTTCTCCCATTTACTCTGTCAGCTCACCTATCCATCTTGGACCATGAAGGATAGAGCTGGGAAAGAAAATAAGAGTAGCAATTCTGAGAGAAGTGCTCTCTTGATTACTCTTACTTACTACTGAGTACTTACTACTCTTACTACTTACGACTCTAAGTACACGGGCAGCAGAGATGGGAAAGGAGAGAAAGACAGGAGGTTCTAATGAGAAGTAGAAAGTCCTTGAGAAACTTTCTCCCAATCTCTGGACTCGAATCTCTATCTCCTGAGTATCTCATTTTTTAAATTATTAATTCTTTGGAATGTTATGCATGCCAGGCATTTTATTCATATGGCTACTTAAAGTAGCTCATTCAATTATGAGGTGATAATTATCATACCCTGTTTCACGTATGAGAAAACTGGTATTCAAAGAGATTAAACAACTTTACCCAAGGTCTTACAGCTGGTAAGAGCTAACATCTGAACACACATCTCTTTGACTCTAAAGCTCCTATGCTCTGAGCCATTCACAATGTAACAGTCTCTGTCTCATTGCTACTTGCTTTTACATATGTGCCTTCTGCTGGGAGTGTTTCCCTTCATCCTTCCAAAATCAGCCAGATGCACTTACACTCATTTTTGAAGTTTCACCTTAAACATTATTTCTTTTATGAAGTGGTTTTTTCCTCAATTTCCCATAGTTCTCTGGGTTTGCCTCTAACAGGGTTCTTATCCTATTGTATTGTGATTGTGTTGGTGTTTTGACATGTTACTTTCACATTAAACCATGAGTTATTTGAGTGTAGGGACCAAGTATCATTTCTTTGCATTTGCAATGCCTTTGGGATATAGCAGACATTCAGTATGTAAATGCTTATAATCAATGGATGGATGTGGAATTGATGGTTAATACATTTTTAAAAATCAACTTCCACTTAACTATTCCTTCTATTTCATTATTTCAACAGATCATCATATCAACTAATCAGTTTATTTTTAATAACATTCAGTTTGGTGAAGGGATGTGGTAATATAAGCACTTCAGAATAGAGTCTTCCGTCCTATACTACCTAATTCTTTCAATCACATTTAGAAAGTTCCCCATTTCTTATTACTTGGTATCACTATACATTAAATCTCTTCCTCATGCACTCATTTTTCTTTAATCAACTTTTACTGTTGAAATATCAAGATTTGTGACACATTCTATTTTATTTTGGGCCTGTTAGTGACTTTTTTTTGCCATAAAACTTTTTGCTGAAGATTTAAAAGTAACAATTGGAGTGGAGGGGCAGTAGGAATACATTGCTATACTGCAGAGTACAAAACTGACAATTATTAGAGACCCTGATCTTCAAAAATCCTCACACTTCTTTCCCCAAAAGGAGCATCTATCTCACTGGCCAACTTTCTCCTACAGACTACTCATGGCTTCTGCATTGAAGTTGGCACTCTCCCTCTTAGCTTTATCTCCAGACCTCCTCACCTTGTCTCTCCAGGGCTAACCCCAAAACCCAAAATTTCCCCCACCTTATGAAGCATAACAGAGTTCCTGGGTGTTGCAAAAGGTAATGTTCTTGGCTGTGAAATCAAAGTTTGGAGGTTCAAGTCCACCCAGAGATACCTTGGAAGAAAGGTTGGTAACAGACTTTAGAAAAATGAGCCACTGAAAAGCCTACTGAGTACAGTTCTACTGATACCCATGGGGTCACCATGACTTGGAGTCAACTCAAGGGCAACTGATTTTTTTTTTTTTTTAAGCAGAGCAATTTACTACTCTCTTTACCTTGGAGTCAGCCCATCCTGGCCATGCGCTGAAAGCTATCTAAAACAACCAAAATGCTTCATTAATGTACTAAATTTTTTAATTGTCACATGATCTGATCTTGTTAAAAAGACTTTTAAAACACTTACGACACAGGGTCTGTTCTTTCTGGAGGTGGTGCAACATTCATAAACATGGATGGCTCAATAATTTTCTGAAGAGGTTTTAACTAAAAAAGAAAGTAAGTATATTTTAATGTTGTTTAGTTACAATGATAGTTCATCCTGATACTATTATCCCCCAGGACTATGGAATAAGCCTAATAATTATACAGATAAGGAAAAAAGAAATGAAAATAAGAAATAACTATTGATTTCTGTTTGTCTAGAACAAAAGATAATGAAGAAACCCAAAGATTTAAAGAAGGAACTAGTCCATATGATTAGCCTGCATGAACCATGGCCTCTTCTGAGATCAGAGGAACTAGATGGTGCCCAGCTCCTATTACCAACTGTTTTGTCCAGGGACACAACAGATTGTCCCAGAAAGAATGGGAGAAAAATGTACCACAAAACTTAAATTCCTAAAAAAAGTTCAGACTTATTGGTCTGGTAGAGACTAGAGGAACCCTTGAGACGAACACCCTTTTAACTTGGAATTCAAACGACTCCCAAAGGTCACCTTTCAGCCAAATGAAAGATTGGCTCATAAAATAAAAAATATCACTGTGAGTACTGTGCTCCTCTAAATATTCACCTAAATGAAACCAAATTCATCTAAACATTACCCTAGACCACAGATGAGAAGGTAAGGGAGGATAGGGAAGCTAGAGTAATGGAAACAGAACAACCAGAATAGAAATAATGAGAATGCTGACATATTGTGAAAAAATGTAACCAATGTCACTGAACAACATGTATAGAAATTTTTAAATGAGAACTTAATTTCCTTTGTAAACTTTCATCAGAAACAGAATAAAGTGTTTCAAAAAAGAATTAAAACTTATTGAAAACAGTATTTGTCAAACATTTTATACCTTTAATCTTATTTAATCCTCCCAACAATCCTATGAGGTAGATAATTATGCCCATTTTACAGATTAGTAATTAGTAATTTTACAGTAAGTCTGAGAGCCAGGATTTGAACGAAGCTCTTTCTGCCCCCAAAGCCACGGTCTTTTTACATTATCATGATGGATAAATAAGGGACTATATCACTGGTATTTAAGACCTGAAAAGTTCATACACATTTAACTTTTCAAAAGTTGAGTTTTTATTATATATCCCATTCTTTTCACATAATACTTTGTTCCTTGTTGGAGCAGATTCTAACTACATAACAAGGAACCCTGGTGGTGCAACGGTTAAGCACTTGACTGTGAACTAAAAGTTCTACTATTTGAACCCATCAGCAGCTCTGTGGGAGAAAAGACATGGTGATCTGTTCCCATAAAGATTATAGCCTAGGAAACCTTATGGTGCTAGAAACCTTATGTTCTACCCTGTCCTCTAGGCTCACTGTGAGTTGGAGTATTTAAATAAAATAATACTTGCCCTGTTTTATCTGAAAAGAGTATATCTTTATGAATGGCTATTGTTTCATGTTATGTTATATTTAGACACCAAAGCCATCTCTGGAGTTAATGCTTAAGCTATAGCTATCACAAAAAGGATTAAACACTTACGGGTCCTTGTAAAGCCTAACTCATGACAAAAAAAAAAAAAAAGAAAAGAAAAGAAAGAAAATAGGTAGAAGGAAAAGGAAAGAAAAATCAAAGAGTAGAAGGAAAAATTTTACAATTTTATGCCTGATATTTTTCATATGCATATTATTTACTTCTTACTCAAAATGTATTGGAAATCATTAAGCTATACCACAAGCAAAATTTTTCAAATCACATTACAAAGACTTCTCCATTAACATGGTATAGACTAATAAGACTGAGGGACCCACTCTCAGTTTCTAATTTAAAATCACGTCAAATGATAAAAATAACAAAAACAGAAAAAGAAGATTACACACAAAGTATATGGGTCATTTCCTATAACTACAGTGGGTTGGATTTTTAAATAGCCAAGAGTTGTGGGAATATCCAGGGATATCAAGAACTCTTTCAAACACTTGGCCAGAGTGTACACTGGCACAACTTTTCCAAAACAAGTCATTCAAAAGGTCATTGTTTTGGACAATAACTTGCCTTCTAGGAATCTAGCCTAAGGAGGTAATCAAAGAAATGAACAAAGATTCAGTACACAAAAATGCTATTAAGGATACAAAAATGTTTTACTACAACAAGGTCACAAGGTAGTGAACATAAAGAGAAGGAAAAGCTAGGAACATACTTTCCTTGAGTAGATTACTCTCGACGAGTCAAGAAGGGTTCAAATAATAACAGATGTTGAAAATACCACAGGACAAACGAATATGTGTGGTCAGAGTACAAAATATTGTCTGAGTAACATTAATGATTCAATCTTTAATACTTTTTATTTAAAAACCCACATCTACTTCCTGAATACTTAAAATAGTTTTTAATTACATAAGGATCTGTGTGTGTATACACACACATATATATACACACTAAAGCAAGTTGTACAGTAAAACCATTTTGAATAAAGATCATTTATTTAAAATGTATAAGCAAATAATGGTAAAAGTCTCATTTTCTTTTGTTTGAAGAAAAAATAATATTCTTCTTAAAATATGTATCTTAAAGAGTTTATCAAACTGGAGAGAATAGAGGCTCAAAGGTGGATGATGCTGAGAGAGGCAGGGGACATCCAGACAGGAAGGAAAAACCGTAGGCTGAGCTGAGTTCACAGCAAACCCAAAGATCGAGACTAGAAAAGGGCATGAATCTTGTTGGCTAACACTCTGTAGCTGCTGTTCTTTTGAAGTTAGCATTTCCTGAAGTGGTTTTTCTTAAGTTGGAGACTTATCCTGAAGCCTGTGCAGAGATTAGATATGCAACCTACAGCTTCACCCTATCCTATAGTAAGTTCAGTTCTAAAAAACAAAAAAGGTAAACCCACTGTGATGGAGTCAGATCCTATTTATAGCGACCCCTCCTTGGGTTTCTGAGGTGGCATCTCTATGAAGTATATTGCCCAATCTTCCTTCAGAGGAGTGGTGGGTGGGTTTGAACTGCCAGCCTTCTGGTTAGTAGTCAAATGCCATAGGCACCACGCCACTCTAGAAACTAAAAGTCTTCAGCCAAGGAATTGAAAACAAGGGAAGCGATGAGAACTGCATCATTGGTTTCCAGACGGACCTCTAAGAGAAGCAAGGAGTCCATCATCAACTTCCTTGCCACCTGGCCCCCTTATGCATATGTAGCTAATTTCTCAAAATTTTAATGAATATGTACACAGAGCTCTGTTGGCTAGTGGATAATGCACTTGATTCCTAACCGGAAGGTCAGGAGTTCAAACCCACCAGCCACTCTGTGGAAGGCAGACCAGGCTATCTACTTAGGTAAAGATTGACAGCCTCAGAAACCCAATGAGGATTGCTGTGAGTCAGAAATGACTTGATGGCATTGAGTTTTGTTTTGTCTTCAAATACCTTCCTCATTATTCACTTAAACATAAAAGCTGTCTGGGCCCCTGGCTTGGAGAGGCAGTTCTTTGAGAAACTATTCTCACTGTCCCCTTTCTTGCTGCAAGAAATAAAATCCAACTTACTCATTCCTCTTAGCTCTCTCATCCTTGTTTGAGTTAAAGCAGCAAACCCATTGTGTTTGGTTTCAATGTGACTAAGAAACTATAATAAAACAATTTATAAAAAAGGTGAACTAACCTGATGTGAAAATCCAAAACCAAAGTTTCCATAGGAGAACATAAATTCTATCTCCATCCTGCAGATAAACTAAACATGTGGCAAATTTACTTTTATGTTTAATCAGAATGATATGTTAATGGATACATGATATTTTTATTTAACAAATTTATAAATTAGAAAAGCTAATATGTATCTCCTAACACATAAAGTATTTACACAAGGAACGCCTATACAAAAATTCACTAAGTTTCTGGAATGTTAAAAAAAATTGTGTTAAAGTTAAGATTATTATGTGATTAAAATACAGTAAATATCAAGCTAAAGTTAGTATGATTACCTTGAAATACATATTATATTCATATATATGTGTACATATGTACACATACATACATACATACACACATATATACATATTTAAAGTATTTACTCACATTCCTTACATTTTAAGATAAAAAAATATTTTATTTATACAAGTGATTTTACCTCTCTGACTCCCAGGTTCTTCATGTGTGAAATGAAGGAAGGTGTCAAAGGTAATGACCTCAACTGTTCATCTTTCTTTTTTTCTTAATTGTGCTTTAGGTGCAAATTTACAGAGCAGAATTTGTTTTACATTCAACATTTCGTGTACATTTGGTTTCACTCATTATTGTTTTTTATGTTCTTTTCCCCAGCTTTGCCTATTGGCCCCAGAAGCCTCCCTGGATAGTAGATCAAATAATTAAGCTAATATATTTTTTAAAAGCCCTGGTGGTACAGTGGTTTAGAGCTAGGCTTTCCACTGAAAGGTGGGCAGTTTGAACCCACCAGTTTCTCTGAGACTGCAGAGCAGATGTAGCAGTCTTCTTTCATAAAGATTACAGCCTTGGAAATCCTATGGGTCAGTTCTAGTCTGTTCTATAGGCTTGCTATGAGTCCGAATCGACTCAACGGCACCTAAAAACAGTTAATAATTTTTAAGTCCTTAAAAAGAAATGAGAGGAATTCTGAGAAGATGGTGATATAAACGAACCATTGTTCTGACCCTCCCCCACAAATACAAGGAAATGGTGCTCAGCTTCGAGGGACTCTGAATCAGGAGGCAGAGGAAAGCAGCCAGAAACTGCAGACAGGCAAGAATCAACCAAACAGCAAGTTGCCTATGGTTGGAAAATTGCTTCTCCCACTCTCCCTGCTCCTCCCCCAACTATATTGGCTGCTGGCTGCTGGCTGCGGTGAACTAGAAGAGTGGCTCCAGAAAAAGAGCCTTTTCCTAAACACCACACTTCCTGCCTATACAAAAGGTAAGCTTCATCTCTAAAAGCAACAAGGCAAACCTTCCCAGGCATCTGTTTGAAGTGTGCAAAGCCTACTGTGAATTGCTACAGAAGGCCCCCTGCAGTGCAATATGCTCTCCTAGTCCAGTGGACCTACGTCTCTGTGCATTTGAAACCAACCAGACAGACCTCCCGGGGGGTCAGTTCAGGTCTGTTTGCTCCCCCTTCTGGTTGGTGCTGAAGACTGCTGATTGAGGCTGCTGTGTGCCAGCACACTACAAGGAGGGCTCTGACAGCAACAAGACAGACTTCCCCCAAGGTCTGTGTGGAGTATGATAGTCTTTCCCCAGCCTGGACACTATCACCTGCAGGCCTGCTATGAATTGCTACAGAAGGGCCCTGCAGTGGAGTCTGCTCCCACAGTCAGCAGTCTTCCTGTCTCCCTGCATACCCATAACTCTGGCCTCTGAAACCAACAGTGCGAACCTTCGTAGGGGATAATTAGGTCAGTCGGTTTGCACTTTCAGTTGGCACTGAGGATGGCTGACCATGGCTGTTGTGTATTAGAAAGCAAGAATCTTGCGTGGAGGATACACTCACAGCCAACAATCTACCAGGGGCACTCTGACAGGAACAAGGCTGTCTGTCCATGAGGACTGACCAAAGCATGACACCCCTTCCTTCATCTGGTAATTATTGGTGGTCAGGCTGATGCAAACTGCTACAGAAGCCCCTCCCATAGTCAGCACTCTACCTGCCTCCCTCTCCCATAGCTCAGGTCTCTGAATCCAACAGGACAGACCTCCCTGGGGATTAGTTTGGGTATGTCTGCTCCCTCTTACAGTCAGTTGGCAGTGAGGACTGATGACTAAGGGTGCTGTCTGCTAGGAAGCTGACATTTGAGTCGAGGCTATATTCACAGTCAATATATTATGGGGGTAGGCTCTCATTGTAACAATGCAGACCTCGGAGTTCCAGTAAGATATCGGAATAGGCAGACAAATTACACACACCCTCTTCAACAAAGAAAAGGGGAACCAAATAACACAGATACAGAAGATAATCCTGGAGCCCTGAGCTTTGAAAGGAAGGATACAGAAGTGGACTAAACTCCAACTAATAGAAGGAGGAAGTCAAAGCTGAAATGAAGGAATTGGCGAAGAACAAGGCTCTGGGAATTGATGGAATACCCATTGAGATATTTCAACAAACGGATGCCGCACTGGAGGCACTCACTTGGTTATGCCAAGAGAATTGGAAGACAGCTACCTGGCCAACTGACTGGAAGAGATCCATATTTGTACCCATTCCAAAGAAAGGTGATCCCACAGAATGTGGAAATTATCGAACAATATCATTAATATTTCACACAAGTAAGATCTTACTAAAAATAATTCAAAAGTAATAGAAGAACCTGCATGAAAACAATGAAATAAAAGACATATGGAGCTTCGGTCTGTCAGCGATCCTGATGGTATGCACAGCTTGGATATTGCCAAATGGTGCTAAACATAAGAATTAACCTAAAACCCTGTTAGCCAGGGGCTGCACAAAGGGCTGCACTGGTGGGTGGTGAATAAAAGGGGAAGCAGTGAAGAGGTAAATGGGCTGAGCTGTGGACTTTCAGCTGCCCAGAGGGTGCAGCTATTTTGAATTTTACAAGTGATTCAACCATTTTGGATATTTAAAGCAACAGTATTCTCTCGGATTCCAAGGACCTGAGAATAGGCTCCACTTGCTGGGGACCACAAGGGCATACCTGACAAGAAGGACTGGAAAGGTGCAATATTCCCTTTATTACTCTCATACCCTACACCTTCTTGGTGAATGGAGGTGCAGCCATGGGGTTCCCTGCCCCACCCAGATGTTTTTTCCTTTTTTTTTAGTTTGTTTTTGTCTGTTTTAAAAATATTATTATTTTGTCCTTTTTTTCTTCTTCTTCTTTCTTTCCCAGGTTCTAGTTTTCAGCTTTTTCTCTCTTCCCTATTCCTGGTTCCCAACTTTTTCTTTCTTATGGTTCTCCCCACTCCTTGTTTTTCTTTTTGCATTTTTCCCATTTTTCTTCATTATTTTCCTACTCTATCTCTTTTCTTTTTTCCCTCCTTTCCAGATATTGCAGAGTTTTTATTTTCTTTCTTTTTATCCCTTTTAATATGCATATTTATTTTGTCTTTTTAAAAGTATTTCTTTAAATATTTTCTCTCATTTCTTGCCTTTTTTTTTTTTTCCTTTTTTCTCTTTTTGGTGATTGTTCCTGTGTGTTTATGTGGTGTGTATATTCTGTCCTCTTGATTTTACTTTTCTGATGGTTTTTCAATTGTTATGTTTGTCTGAGTGGAAGACAGCAAAAATGTCCATACGATGCAACCACACCCGCACCTCCGCTTGATGAGTGAGAGCCACCACTTCCTTCTGCACCTACTAACCAATGATATGCAACCAATAAGAGCCTGACTCACCCTTAACTGAGTTAACAGTTAACAGAGATCTGTGCACCCACTCTCATTCTCTATCATACCCACAGGAGACAGGTGGTGAGTGCATAAGTGCTGCCAACTAGTGAACAGAGGAGCACAGTACCCTGCTGACTCAGATACATCCAAAAACAGAGTTAAAAAAAAAAATGTTGGGCAAATCACTCCAACATACAATCACCAATTAAATATAAATACAACGAAGTCACAATGTCTTGAAGAAAACAGACCATCAAAGTCCACAGAAAGAAACAAAATAAAGCAGTAGAAACAAGGCAGCAGGATATAGACCCAGAATATATCCTTGAGGAAGAAGCAGCATTGGAACTCCCTGATGAGGAATTCAAAAAAAATTGTACTTAGCTACCTGCAACAAATTATGCCACCTCCTGAAATGGATGAACATCGACCAGTTCTTCTTGGTACAGTGACTGTGTATTCCTTCCATCTTCTTTTGATGTTTCCTGCATCATTCAATATTTTGCCCGTAGAATCTTTCAATATTGCAACTCGAGGCTTAAATTTTTTCTTCAGTTCTTTCAGCTTGAGAAATGCCAAGTGTGTTCTTCCCTTTTGGTTTTCTAACTCCAGGTCTTTGCACATTTCTTTATAGTAATTGGCTTTATCTTCTCAAGCTGCTCTTTGAAATATTTGGTTCAGCTCTTTTATCTTGCCATTTCTTCCATTTGCTTTAGCTAGTCTCCACTCAAGAGCAAGTTTGATTCTCTTCTGTCATCTGTTTTGATCTTCTCTTCTTTTCTTGTCTTTTTAGTGACCTCTTGCTTTCTTCATGGATAATGTCCTTGATATCATCCCACAATTCTTCTGGTTTTCTGTCATTGGTGTTCAATCTACCAAATCTATTCTTTAGATGGTCTCTAAATTCAGGAGGGATATAGTCAAGATCATATTTTGGCTCTCTTGGACTTGTTTTAATTGTCTTCAACTTCAAGTTGAACTTGCATGTAAGCAGTTGATAGTGTTCCACAATCAGCTCCTGGCCTGGTTTTGGCTGAAGATATTAAGCTTTTCCATCACCTCCTGCCACAGATGTAGTCAATCTGATTCCTGTGTGTTCCATCTGGTGAAGTCCACATGTACAGCGCTGTTTGTGTTGTTGAAAAAGGGTGTTTGCAATGAACAAGTTGTTGGTCTTGCAAAATTCTACCTTGCGACTTCCAGCATTATTTCTGTCACCAAGGCTAAATTTCCAACTACCAGTGATTCTTCTTTGTTTCCAACTTTTGCATTCCAGTGATAATTAACACACCCTGATTGCATGCTTGGTCAATTTTAGACTGCAGAAGTTGATAAAAATCTTCCATTTCCTCATTTTTGGTTTTGGTGGTTGGTGCAT